CCTTTCCCCTCAGAGATTGGTGATTATATCCGGTATTCATTTTTTATCCTTTCAACTCGGATATGTTACTATACTCATACCTCTAATCGTCTTGCGTGATGCAGATGCCAAGCGGCTGATCGGGAGACGATACAGTGACGAGTCTGTGCAGGCTGACATAAAGCTGTGGCCGTTCAAGGTTGTCTCGGGCCCCGCCAACAAGCCAATGATTGTGGTCTCCCACAAGGGTGAGAAGAAGCAGTTTCCCCCAGAGGAGGTATCGTCAATGGTCCTTACCAAGATGGCCGCCATTGCCGACTCATATCTGGGCCCCACCCCCGTCCGGGATGCCGTCATCACCGTCCCCGCTTACTTCAGTGACTCTCAGCGACAGGCCACCAAGGACGCCGGTGCCATTGCCGGCCTCAATGTCATCCGCATCATCAACGAGCCCACTGCCGCTGCCATTGCCTATGGCCTTAACCTCAACTACAAGGCAGCTGACGCCGCCTGGGCAGAGAAGAAGAACGTGTTTGTCTTCGATTTAGGCGGTGGCACCTGCGACGTCTCCCTCCTCACGATTAATAAGGGTACCTTTGAGGTGAGGGCCACCGCCGGCGACACTCATCTTGGCGGGGAAGATTTTGACAACCGCATTGTCGCACACTTTGCCGACGAGTTCAGGCGCAAGTACCGCAAGGACCTCTCCAAAAACCCCCGAGCCCTTCGGAGGTTGAGGACAGCCTGATAAGTCGAAAATACGTGCTACTTTTGTAATGTAACTGAGGAAATATGTTGGATATTTGTGCTTAATTAATTTATTTTCGACCTTAACTTATAATTTCGAGTGGAAACTACTATTGTTGGAATTTTGTGTGCAGTTGATCATTATAACCAACATGGCAACAGTGGAATTTTGATGGACATGGCAATGTTGGACTTCCAAGGAACAGACAGTGCTGCGAGTTATTTTGGATGTGGGCCTATTATTGCTAGGCCCATTATTGCTACTAAAGGACAGCCAAAACAGAAGCAGCGCATATCAGATTTTGGGAGACCTACCTGAACAGAACGAACAGCCGCAAGGGAGAAGACAGAAAAGGATTTTGGACGAGCAGCAACCTCAAGTTCACTTCTTCTCTAGACTTTTGAAAATACTTTTGCTAGATATTATGGAAGCCCTGCGCGGCTAATTCTCTTTTGTTTCGGTTGAACACGATTGAAACCCCAAACTTAATACTGTGAGATCTAATTAGTTTTTATCTATTAATTCATATTTCGTATTAATTGTTTTGTGTGTTTATGTTTATGATTTTGTGTTAGGATCGTAGCCTGATCAACTATTGTCTTGTGCACTTAATCTATTGCTTGGTGGATATTGAGTCGGATTTAGATGATTTATCTATCGTAAGAAGCAACTGAGCGTGGTAATTGACCGGATTTAGGCGTTATCATTCTTAGGCAAAATAATTATACAAGTTAGCATTTAACGGATTAGTTATTTGTTGCTTGTGTTGTCGGGCCCTACTTCTTAATGCTATTGCTAGGATAATTTTACACGATGTTGGGAATTGCCTAGTAATAAGGGTTGTGTAGAAGGATTTATTTTGCATAGCCAATTTAGGAGTCAGAATTCATCATTCAACGGCATCTACGTATTTATGAGTTGATAATATTTGCATCGAGGATCAGTAGAATAATTCGGGGTGGAAATCAGTTCAACCGGAGCACTTTAGCTATATATATTCATCTTCATCTTGCTGTTACTTTTGAGTCTCTTATTTAATAATCTTTTACCAATACTCTCTTTATTTTCTTGTTAATTAGATAATTAGGATTATAAATCATATCTCCCCCATTTTAATCATATAGTTAAAGTCATCTAATTAAATTATTCCTTGTGGATTCGATCCTTGCTCACGCTACTACATATATTCAAGCAAGGTTAATTTGGGTGCCTACGACAGCACGACCACAGCCTGCGAGAGGGCAAAGAGGACTCTCTCGACAAACACTCAGACCACTGTGGACATTGAGTGCCTGCACGAGGGCATTGATTTCCACTCTAGCATTACCCGTGCTAAATTCGAGGATCTCAACATGGACCTGTTTGAAAAGTGCGTCGAGTCAGTCGAGAGCTGCCTGAGAGACGCTAGGGTGGACAAGACTGCAATCCATGACGTCGTCCTGGTTGGCGGCTCGACCAGGATCCCCAAGGTTCAGAAGATGCTGCAGTTTATTTTCGAGGGAAAGGAGCTATGCAGGAACATTAACCCGGATGAGGCCGTTGCATACGGGGCCGCTGTGCAGGCGGCCGTCCTAAGTGGCATAGTGAACGACAAGGTGCGGGACATCGTCCTCCTCGACGTCACCCCTCTCTCCCTTGGAATAAATACTGTCGGGCAGGTCATGTCTATTGTGGTCCCTCGGAACACGACTATACCCACACACAAGGAGCAAACATTCCACACAAATGAAGATAACCAGGCATCTGCGGATATCTTCGTCTACGAGGGTGAGCGGGCAAGGTCAATAGATAACAACCTGCTCGGGAAGTTCACACTGAAGGGAATCCCACCTGCTCCACGCGCCGAGCCCAAACTTGATGTGTGCTTCAAAATTGACGCCAATGGGATACTGAGCGTGTCGGCCAAGGAGAGGTCGACGGGCAGAACAAACGGGATAACTATAACCAACGAAGAATGGAGGCTGTCGAAAGAGGAGATTGATAGGATGGTGTGGGATGCCGCGAGGTACAGGGAGGAGGACGAAGAGTTTAAGAGGAGGGCCAAAGCCAGGAGCAGCCTCGAGAATTTTTCTTATGAAATGAGGAACACGGCTAGGGCTGCAGCCGGGCGGTCGGTGGCCGAAAGGAGAATGGTTGAGGATGCGGCGGTGTCGGTTATTGAGTGGGTGGAGGAGAATGGGATGCAGGCCGATGTGGATGATCTCAATCATAAGATGAGGGAGCTTGAGCTTGTTTGCAACCCTATTCCAAAAGTGGATATCGACTCCGACTCCGACGACGACTCCGATGGATGGTAGTCTGGCTGTTTGCTCTTTTTTCTTTTGTCGACATTTAGTGCCTAAAGATTTCATGTCAAAACACTTATGTCATATCGTGGTATTTTGGATTGAACATGTGTTTGGGTTAGACGTGTCGTTAAAACCATTGTCTTTTGATTTGTTTCATTTCTTTACCCGACATGTAAGGCACTTGTTTTTATGACGAGTGTGTGATCAATGCTGATTTTATGTTATTAATTTTCCAGTAAGAAGGTCTTTTGACCATTTTTTACCATGTAAAAATTTTACCATGATAGAATCGAGCTTAGCTCCGACGATTGTGGCGAAGAACGAGCATCATGAGGCAACTGTGGTGGCGAAATGTCCTTCCCTCGACTAGCAGCTGGTTAGTTGATCCTCAATTTAACTATTTGTTTCCCAGTTTCATCCAAGATTATCATTGTTTTGTCTTGAACGCTTCAGTTTATTCTTGACTTGGCCCTAATATGTTTGGACCGGGTCTCAACTTGTGTGGTTGATGCTAATTTCTTCCATTTAAATGTGTTTGTTGGGTTGATTGAGCTTGAAAATGTAAGTTAATAGCTGGTTCCAGTTTTGGTGAGGAAAAGTGCTCCTTTATTGTGAAATCCTAAATAAGATATGGTCTGTCCTGACAGAGCAATCAGAAGCAGCACTCTGCATGCAAACAAGCTGTTGCCTAATTCAAAAATTTTGTTTTGGAACTTTCAGTTCAGGTAGTGTTGCCTAATTGACAATTATGCCTAGTGTTGCAGTTTGTTTATTTATTCAAGATTTTTTTTTTTACTGGCTTTGTCTTCGCATGTTTGTAAGGTAATTCTCTTCAGCTTGAATTTTATTTTTTGCAGTATATACATTTGTAATTAGTTTAGATGGAAATTGGTTTGCATTTTTTTTTTTTTGGNAAATGGTGTGGGATAAAATTGTTTTTGCCACTTGCACTCAACTATATATGCATTTATACTTTGGGGGTATTCTATATATATTTCTATATTAATGGGATAATTCTATATTTGGTTGAGTTGATTATGAGGTATGGCTGATTTTAATTATTCTAATCATGTTGATTTTTAGATATGACTGATTCAGAGTATTCTAATCATTGTAGTTGATTTGGAGTTGATTATGAGGTATGGATGATCAACAACATTGGGTCTGATTGAACTATTATTACATTTCCAATTCCAATTCTTGAATCATTTGCTACGACTGTATATTGAAGTGGAGCAGCCATGATATAGCGAAAGCAAACACAATACAACTGAGCAAAGAGAAAATTAATCAGGGTAATTAGATTTTCACCATCAATCACGGTGCCCTCATCGAGTTTTTTTACCGTTGGATCACACACACTCACACGTGTGTGCATTGACCCAACAGTAAAAAATTCGTTGGATTGAATTTTCCATCATAAAAAAAAAAAAAACTAAATTTTTGGTTGAACAGTTAGAAAACAACTAAAATCTTCCACTCCCACAACTCAAATGAGATTCAGGCAATCTTGAAATTCCCTACAATCAACATTACCTTTGCCAAGCACACTTCCAAATGTGACCAATACTCAATATTTTAATTAACTACTCCAACAACATTCTAATTTACTCACAATCACAGCATTGCCCAGAGTTCAACATTGTAAAGCCAACAGAGGCAAACCATAAAACATCAATATTAACAAAACAACAAAAAGTTGAAAACAAATTTATGGGTTTCTGAAATTACTCACTTGTTCCCTCTAATCTTGAACCAAGTATCAGCACAATGCTTATGGGCAACTGCCAAATCATCCTTACAAGCACAGTTCAACTCAATGGTCGGCCCAGAACAACCTGGGCTGTTGCTAACCAAGCCCAAATGGCAAATCCTATAGTCTCCCTCAAATTTCCCAATCGGGCGACCGCGGGTTGAGAGAATTCAACTAGTAGTCTTTTCGAGCCCACAAGTAATGAGTTTGCGCCGATCATAATAGACTCGGCAACTTGCATAAAGAGAATAAATGGAAGTGCATTCTTTTTAGTGATACTATGCAATAGCTACAGACAACTAAACAAGAACAAAACCCAAACATTCAACCATGATCAACAGATGCTGCCTTCCGAGNGATGCTGCCACCTGGAAATGACTAAAACACATCTACATGTCATTTAACTATTTAAGAGTTCACAACACTATTAAGCACATTTCAACTCCATGATATTAAGCTTATTCGATTTTCCTCTGTCACTTATTTCAGCCACTATAACACATGTTACAAAAGAACTCAACTATAAATCTAAGATATCTTTGATAGACATCAATATCATTGCATTGCAAGACTCATCCACCACTTATTCTCCCAAATACCAATACAAAATCCAGATAATACCAAGTTCTTCATACCGTCATGATCAAGAGTCGGCCCGACTCTTTTCGACTTTGGGCTCACGCTCGAGAAGCCCTTGCCCGAGCCCGTCTTCTCTTCATCTATGCCCTGCAACTTCCAGTAGCACGATTTTCCCCAAATCTGAACTGGAGTGGACATCTCGGGCCTCTCCAGCATCTGCCTCGACCTAGTGGCCCAATAAATCTATGTGGGCCCCAAGCTGGCCCCATACCGGGCCCCGAGATGATCTCCACGGGCCCTAGGTTGATTCCCCTTCTCTTAGAATTCGGCCGTGCGCTCACGGACGAGATCTCATCAGTAGTCCCCTTATCATCTGCATTTTTGGGACCCTTTAACATTGCGGGCACGGCCCGACTTCTCTTCTCTCAAAGAACATCATTTGATTTATTCGAATATTAGTAAAAAATTAGAATATAATTTGAAGACAAAATTCTTTAATATTTTTGTGTTGCAGAGATAATTGAGTTCGAGAAAAAAGTAAAAATTGAGACACATAAAATGAAATGTAATTTAGAAAAATTTTGTGGTTTATTTGAGATATATAATTATGCCCAGGGTCAATGTTAAGATGAAATACATAAAGACCTTTTATGTAGTACTATTACAATTTTTTTTTATTTTATTTTTATTTTTATTTTTTTTTTAAGTAAGGAGATTTTAATTTTTTTTTTCAGTAAGGAGATTTTAGACCTTCTCCAACGATACTGCAAAACGCAAAAATTTGCGTTGCTTTTGCCGTGCTGAGAACGGAGATTTTCAGACGGAGACCTTTACCCATCTTTTCTTAGAGAGCGAGACTGTGAGGAGAGTGTGGGAGCATTATACCAGCTTCACTCATGTCCCCCTACCATCCACAGATACTTTCTTTGAGTTCCTGAGTTTTTTCAGACACCGCACACACATTAGACACGTGAGCTTCCTTATTCCTTATCTGATCCTTTGGGCCACCTGGACAGAAAAGAATAATGCGAACCATAGGGATAACCCGTTTATGTCTTCTCATATTATTTTGCAGGTTGATCGACATCTTTCCCTCCTCATCGCTTTGGGCAGACTCACCTAGAGAGACTGGATAGGATGCACGCCACCTCACCGCCTTGCACTACCTCCATTAGTGCCTGTCCAACATCCACATCCCAGAGCTGTTGTTTGGCTGAAACCCGAGTTGCCTTGGGTTAAGCTAAACACTGATGAAGCCTTTGATCGACTTACTGGAGTTGCAGGAGGTGGGGGTCTGATTAGGGACCCTAGCGGCGCTCTTATTGTCGCGTTTCATGCTCCTCTTCGGGCCTCCTCCAGCTATGACGCGGAGGTTCAGGCGCTTCAGATCGGTCTTCAGATTGCCGCCTCGATCTCCTCTCACGTTTGGATAGAGCTGGATGCGGCCGCGGTCGTCACTCTTCTGTTATCTGGCCATCAGGGTACATGGCAGATCCAGCATCCGCTCATGCGCATCAGAGCCACTCTCCAGTCGGTTCGCTTCCGGATCTCGCACATCTTCCGCGAGGAGAACCGACCAGCTGACTTCCTTGCTGGCATTGGGTCCTCCACCCCCAGAGACACATTCTTTACTCTGATGATATTCCTATCCGCCTCCGGACTCTCATACAGATGGATCAAATGGGATACCCTTCATTCAGATTTATGCAGCCGATTTTACCTTTTGGCGCATCTACCACACGGTGATGTTGACTTTCTCGCAGGGACTCTCCCGGGACCAGGATCTGTTATTTGTGTATTTTTCGCCGCAGTTGCAGGAGATATTGAACTTGTAACTTTGTGACTTTTCGATTCATTTAGGACTATTTATATACAGGTTGGGAGTACGGCCTTAACAACCCAGCGTACTGGAATGTTGTTTGAAAATAAAAATAAAAAAATATATATATATATATATATATATATATATATATAGATGGTCAAGTTTCAACATCTTCTAGAAGACATGTATAGGTCAAACTTTAAATATATACAAGGCAACACCAATGTTACTCTTATTATAATATATTTTAACTATATTTAAATATAGTCGAGGGCTGCTACGCACCGTTGTCGAAGCCACCGATCTTCGGCCGTCTTGTGCTGCCACAAAGTAGTCGAGGGCTGTTCCAGCAACCTTTTTTTCGATCAATATGACTTGTTTGGTAATTTTAGGTTAAATGATGGAAGACATTTTTTTTTTTTCTTACTTTTTTTGCATCACGTAACTATATATGTTTAAAAGTTCTTGGATTTCATTGTCTGTAATTGTGTCTTTTTTTGCATCACAAGTATATTCAATGGTTGTCATGTGAATTTCAACAAATTCAGATATTTAAAATTGTTTTCTAGCTAGAGCATGTTCACAATGGGAAACAAGCAAACTCGTCAAGCTACAATTTCATTTCACCGCTATCCTCCCCAAACCTGGAACCCGCCATTAACTTGCATTTTCAAGCCCAATCAGCCCAACACATTTAAAGAGAAGAAATTAGCATCAACCACACAAATTGAGACACGTCCAAACATATTAGGGCCAAGTCAACAATAAACAGAACAATGATAATCTTAGATAAAAGTTAAAACTATGAAACACATAATTAAAGCAGGTACCAACTAACCAGCTGCTACTCGAGCGAAGCACATTTCGCCACGACTGTTGCCCCATGATGCTCGTTCTTCGCCACAATTGTCGGAGCTAAGCTCGATTCTGTCAAAATCTGCTGGAATGCCGCTGTGTCTACAAGTTCACTATGAGTTAATAGAAAAAAATTTTACACAGTAAAAATGGTCAAACGACTTGCTCACTAGAAAATTGATGACATAAAATCAACATTGATCACACACTCGTCATAGCAACAAGCACCTCATATTTGCGGTAAAGAACTGAAACGAATCAAAAGATCATGGTCTGAACGACACGTCTCACCTCACCCCAAAGACATGTTCAATCCAAAACACCGAAACTCAAGATATGACACAAGTGTTTTTGACAAGCAATCTTAACCAAGGCACTAAATGTAGAAAAGAAAAATGCCAACAGCCAGATTACAATCCACTGGACTCCATATCAACTTTAATGATAGGGTTGCAAATGCGCTCAAGCTCCTTCGTCTTATGGTTAATTTCATCCACGTTGGCCTTCATCCGATTCTCCTCCACCCACTGAATAACCGACACAGCCGCATCCTCCACCATTGTCCTGTCGGCGGCTGCCAGCCCGACTGCAGCCCTGACCTTGTTCCTCACATTATAAGCGTAATTCTCGAGACTTCTCCTGGCGTTGGCCCTCCTCTTAAACTCTTCGTCTTCTGCCCTGTACCTCGCGGCATTCCACACTATCCTATCAATCTCCTCTTTCGACAGCCTCCCTTCTTCGTTGCTTATAGTGATCCCATTCATATTGCCCGTCGACCTCTCCTTGGCTGACACACTCAGTATCCCATTGACGTCGATTTTGAAGCACACATCCAGTTTGGACACAAGTCGAGGGGCAGGTGGGACCCCATCCAGCACGAACTTCCCGAGCAAGTTGTTGTCCGTTGACCTCGCCCGTTCGCCTTCATAGACATGGAAACTCACAGACGTCTGGTCATCGACACTCGTGGTGAATTGTTGCTCCTTCTGGGTGGGGACTCTCGTGTTCCGCGGGACCACAACAGACATCACCTTCCCTGCAATTTGCACTCCAAGGGAGAGAGGGGTCACGTCGAGGAGGACAAGGTCCCGCACCTTGTTGTCTCCTATGCCACTTAGGACGGCCGCCTGCACGGCCGCCCCATATGCAACGGCCTCATCCGGGTTAATGCTCCTGCACAGCTCCTTTCCCTCGAAAATAATCTTCAGCATCTTCTGAACCTTGGGAATTCTTGTCGAGCCTCCAACCAAAACAATATCATGGATGGAAGTTTTGTCCACCCCAGCGTCTCTCAGGCAGCTCTCGACTGGCTCGACACACTTTTGAAACAGGTCCATGTTGAGATCCTCGAATTTAGCCCGGGAAATGCTAGAGTGGAAATCAATGCCCTCGTGCAGGCACTCAATGTCCACAGTGGTCTCAGTGTTGGTCGAGAGAATCCTCTTTGCCCTCTCGCTGGCTGTCCTCAGCCTACGTAGGGCTCGGGGGTTTTCGGAGAGGTCCTTGCCGTACTTGCGCCGAAACTCGGCGGCAAAGTGAGCGACAATGCGGTTGTCGAAATCCTCCCCGCCGAGGTGGGTGTCGCCAGCGGTAGCCCTCACCTCGAAGGTACCCTTGTCGATCGTGAGGAGGGAGACGTCGCATGTGCCACCGCCTAAGTCGAAGACAAACACGTTTTTCTTCTCTCCCTTGTAGTCGAGGCCATAGGCAATGGCGGCGGCAGTTGGCTCGTTGATGATACGGATGACATTGAGGCCGGCAATGGCACCGGCGTTCTTGGTGCCCTGTCTCTGAGAGTCACTAAAGTAGGCTGGGACGGTGATGACGGCATCCCAAACGGGGATGGGGCCCAGAAAGGAGTCAGCAATGGCGGCCATCTTGGTGAGGACCATGGACGATATCTCCTCAGGGGGGAACTGCTTCTCCTCGCCCTTGTAGGAGACCACAATCATGGGCTTGTCCGTGGGGCCCGGGACAACCTTGAACGGCCACAGCTTTATGTCGGCCTGCACAGAGGCGTCGCTGTATCGTCTTCCAATCAGCCGCTTGGCATCTGCACCAACCAAGACGGTTATAGTAAGCCGGCAGTAGGAACTAATACCAATATCAACATATCATGTTACCAAGTAGGAACTAATACCAATATCAACTGAAATTCAATATCAACACTATGAAATTTCGGAAGATACACAACCAAGTTAACCGTAAAAATAATCCGACTTGAAACGACTAAATGAATATCAGATAAAATAGCCAAAATATCTTGCGGGGAAAAGAAAACAAAAGAAAAATTGGAAAATAGTGCAGCTGACCAAAGACGGTGTTTGCGGGATTCAAGCCGGCTTGATTCTTGGCGGCTTCGCCGATGAGACGCTCGCCGTCAGCAAAAGCGACATATGACGGCGTCGTGCGATTTCCTTGATCATTGGCTATGATCTCGACGCGGTCATGGTGCCACACGCCCACGCATGAGTAGGTGGTCCCCAAATCAATTCCGATTGCTGGTCCCTCGCCCTTTGCGGCCATTACTAAATGAACAAAGTGAAGGAAAAATAAAATAAATAATCACAATCAAACTGGTAAGGTAATCCGTAATCGGCTCTCGCCTCTTGTATTGTTGGATGAGTATTCAAGTATCAACTCCGTACACAGCAATATTATACGGGCGGATACGACTGCCCTTTAGAGTGGGTGTCTTTTCATAGACTTTATTGAGAAAATAGAAGTCAAATTCGAGGTTTATATTTTACAAAAGCCCAAAAGTTTTGAGTTTTGACGCATCAAAATCAAATCTAGAAAGTTTGAATCTCGGTCTTTTATTTATCTATATATTGACACAAGTTTTCACTATTAATTTTGAAAATTATCATAAACAATTATTGATTTCTTTCTGTATTAAGTTACCATATTCTATTTTTACATTTTCTCTTTAATTCATATATTAATTATTACAAATATGCATTATGTTTATTATTAAAACTTTATAGCTTTTTTATTTGCATCTTATATATGATCTATCAAAATAATCATGTTTTAACGATTTTCGATTTGACATCTACATTGTATATATAAAATAAAAAATAATTTTATCTATATTTAAAAATAAAATTAATTTTACTATCAACTCAATTTAAAAAACATTAAATAACAATATAAATTATTTTATAAAAATAATAAAAATATAATTCCATACACCATAAAATAATTATTTTATTGTATTTGTGCCATAAATTTTGGATAAAATATGAAAATGAAGTATTACATAAAATAAATTTTAAGAAATATTATGAAATATTATTTCTCAGTTTAAATAAATTATATAAAAAAAGAATGCTATTGTTGTTTAAAACAGTAAATATAAAGAAATATCATAATTCAATATAATAAAATAATTTTGTATTTCATAAAGTTAGGAAATAGTGCATTTCTATATATATTAATATTCTAAATTATTAAGTTATATCAATTTAAAATACTTGAATAATTAATAATCGAGAGACACTGACTCTAAATATCAAATATAACCACAATAAAATACAAATTGTTTAAAGAGAAGAAATTAGCATTAACCACACAAATTGAGACACGTCCAAACATATTAGGGCCAAGTCAACAATAAATTGAAGGACAACTAACCAGCTGCTACTCGAGCGAAGGACATTTCGTCACCACATTTGCCCCATGATGCTTGTTCTTTGCCACATTCGTCGGAGCTAAGCTCGATTCTGTCAAAATCTGCTAGAAACCCGCTGTGCAGTGTGGGTTAATAGATAAAACGTTTACACGGTAAAAATAGTCAAGACTTGCTCACAGGAATATTAAACAAATCAAAAGATAATGGTTTTAACGACACGTCTAACCCCAAAGACATGTTCAATCTGAAACACCAAAACCCAAGATATGACACAAGTGTTTTTGACAATAAATCTTAACCAAAGCACTAAATGTTGAAAAAATAAAAAAGCGAAGAGCCAAATTACAATCCACTGGACTCCATACCAACTTTAATGATAGGACTGCAAATACGTTCAAGCTCCCTCATCTTATCGTTGAGATCATCCACACCAGCCTGCATCTAATTCCCCCCCACCCACTGAATAACCAACTCCGCTGCATCCTCCACCAGCCTCCTGTCAGCTGCCGCTAGTCCGGATGCAACCCTCACCGCGTTCCTCACATTATAAGCGTAATTCTCGAGACTGCTCCTAGCTTTGGCCCTCCTCTTAAACTCTTCGTCCTCCTCCCTGTACCTCGCGGCATCCCAGACAATCCTATCAATCTCCTCTTTCGACAGCCTCCCTTCTTTGTTGGTTATAGTGATCCCGTTTGTTCGGCCCGTCGAACTCTCTTTGGTCGACACATTGAGTATGCCATTGACGTCAATTTTGAAGCACACATCAAGTTTGGGCTTGGCCCGTGGAGCAGGCGGGATTCCCTTCACCTGAACTTCCCAAGCAGGTTGTTGTTTATTGACCGTGCCCGCTCAATCTCGTAGACGAAGATATCCGCGGATGCCGAGTTATCTTCATTTGTGTGGAACGTTTGCTCCTTCTGGGTGGGGAGAGTCGTGTTCCGCGGGACCACAATAGACATGACCTGCCCGACAGTATTTATTCCCAGGGAGAGAGGGGTGACGTCGAGGAGGACGATTTCCCGCACCTTGTCATTCACTATGCCACTTAGGACGGCCGCCTGCACGGCAGCCCCGTACGCAACAGCCTCATCCGGGTTAATGTTCCTACATAGCTCCTTTCCCTCGATCAATCATTCTTACACACCACCTTACCTTAATTCACTATTCATCCACTCACATAATTTTAACTAACCATCACTTCAAATCTTCCCTCTCCTACTTTACATCAAATCAATTTTAATCATTTTATTTTAAATATTATTTTAATATACCCACTAACAACTAATCATACCAACTTTTTCAAAATTAACCAAACCAAACAAAAAAATCTAAACAAAACTAAAATTTTTTATATCCAATCATCCTCAATGATTCAGATACCTATCTGAGAAAAGATAAGTCAAATTCGAACTTTACATGAAGTCCAAAAGTTTTGACTCATTAAATTCAAATTTAAATAAGATTGTATTTCGATCTTTTATTATCTAATCTATATATATATATATATATAATAAGAATTACCATTTAATAAAAATAGTAAGTAAAAAAATTTGAAAGTATTAATTGCATTCCATTTTTAGTATGTTTTTTTAATTTTTTTAATAAAAAAATCAAGCAACATTTAGTGTTACCATAAATCATGGGATTTGTTATATTTAAATTTTAAATTTTAAAAAAACCTACCTAAATGTATTTTGAAATTTTTTGGGAAAAATTATATCGTCCTCATCCTTTTATTTCTCTCATTCTCTTACCCTATCTCGCCCGAACCCTTTCATTCCATCTCTCTCGCTCCGCCGAAGCCCCCAAATTCGCCGCCCTAATCGTCGCCCCCTCCGCCGCCAAGGTCGCCTCCGATGTCGCCTCCTCCGCCGCTGAGGTCGTCGACTCGAACGTCGTCGAAGCGGTGGACATTAAGAAGCTGGTGAATTCCCGTTTTCCCGATGGGTTCACGGCGTATTACACATTTCTACTTGTATTGCCTCAAGTTTTCAACAAGCGTAACATGATATATAGACAACACAAACAAACTCCAAGAGTTACTTGAGGGAGCGAGAATTATTATGTCACTTCATTGGCTATCAAGTTGATCTTACAAGGCCAACAAATTAATGACTCCCAGGTCTATAAAGTCCCAGATCGTTGAGCTGCGAGAAAATCAGGGTTGTGATGGGGGAAGTTGGGGTGCTCGAGCTGGAGATTCCCAAGAAGAAAAAAAGCGAGGCTGGGGCCGTGATTAAGCTTTAATTAAGCAACAGTTTTATTTAAGTAGAATAATGTTTGGTTTTTAGGTATTTTCTTTGTGATTGTGATGAGGATTTTTGGATTTATGTCTCTATTTATTATGCTGCTGCTGTCATTTGATTTTTGATGTATTTGTGGGTATTGTGACTGAGAATTATGATGAATCGTCTGTTTTGTGAAAAAAAAAAATCTTAGTAACAAATTAGAAACAAATCTGTAACCTAGTCGTCTATAATATATTGGTGCTTTTTATACCACATTTCTCAATCAATAGCACCCAGGGCCGAGAAAAGAATCCAATCGCCGAGGCTCGACGAAAAAAAAAAACTAATAAAGAAGGACTGCTGTAGAAAAGGAGAAGAGGGTGCAGACATAGATTTTGATTTTCAAATTCATTCAAATATTTATATGAAAATATCATAAGCAAATTTTTTTGATACATTACAAAAAATTTTAACTTACATATAAACATATTCCTAACAAACACTAAATTTGCTTATATATTTTTAAATTAATTACATCAATAAATAATACTATTAATAAAAATTAAATATTTATCATTATAGAAAGAAGAGTATTACTTCTATAAGTGTTATAAATAATAATGGCAATAAGAGGGGAGTAAGTGGTTGGTACCTATACGGTCGGAAGGAGATGGCTCTTCGGTGGTCAAACCGACATAATGGGGAAGGGTGGCTGAGAAGGTAAGGGGTACTATGGCAATAGACTCCTCATTCCAATCCCGAACAACGGATCTCCAAGGGGAGTTTTTATTAGGTCTACGTGGCGGGGCACGGCGCTTATGTAGCCATTCCGGCTCAAAATAGAAGCCCTTAGGTGGAGGTCGGACAAAAAAGAACCTCGTCTTCCATGAGGGGATATTAGAAGGAAGTTTCAAGATGAATGCCGCCCCGTTACGGGAAAGCGTATAATGACACCCCGTTCTACCCCACTTCTTAAACCTCAAATCATAGCAATAGAAGTAAAAGTCGGGATCCAATCGCCCCAACCTGTGATGGCACAAAATAGCAAAGGCTATCATGGTCTAAATAGCATTAGGGGGAAGTTGGTTCAATGGAAAATTGAACACCAGACATAGGCGCAAAAGAGGCTCAAGGCCGGAGAATCGGAGGCCAACACCAACTTGGTCCTTAAAAAATGTGTAACATCCGGAAGGCGGCTCATCATGCCTATCCGAAGGAACCGGTTTCACAAACTCCCAACCGGTAGGCAACTCGCAGAGCTCCTTGAATGCCGCAATATCGTCGTAGGACATACGAGAAAAAACACTAGGTCCACTCTCGGGGTCAATAAACTCACCCGAGTCGGTCTAAGAGGAGGCATGACCACCCGAACCAGTCGAGTGGATAGCATGTCTACTCGAGTGGGCCGAAGGAGAGGCGCGACTCCCTGAGCCACGCAAAGGAGAGGCGCGACTCTCTGAGCCACACGAAGGATCCCAGAGCCGGTCAAAAGAGAAGCGTCGTGACCCGAAATTGAGTGGGGCACGTCGGTAAAGGAGGGGACATCCGCGAGGTCGAAAGGGACGCTGTGAAATGAGTCTCCAAACCGTTGGAGTTTATCCCACGTAAACACGCCCTCTTCTTCATCGACTAAATAAGGGGTGTCGGCCCCGGAAGGGGGATCGAAGGGCATATCTACATAAAGGAGGGCAACGAAAATAGCATAAGGACTAGTGGTTGAGGATGCCCGGCCCGAACTCGGAAATCGAACTAGCTTTTTAAAGAATTGGAAAATAACAATGGACGGAAATGTATACACAACAGACGACAAGCAAAGAGACGAGATTTTTAATTACATTGAAAGAAGTTCAAGAGTAAGTACCCATAATTGGAGGTGGATCGGACTTGATTAGAAGAATTTGTCGCCGGGTAGAGGGAGTAGCGAGCGGTCCGCCGGGTAAGATTTGCAAACTAGCCGCCGGGTCGAGGGATTCGCAAGTGGGCTGCCGGGTTGGGGAGTTCGTGAACAATCCGGTCGGCAAAGAGCTCGTGAATAAGTCATGCCCGATAAAAATTTATTAGAGAGGAATGGAGAGGTCTTGCAAAGAAGATGAGAAGGGAAGAAAGTTTTTCCCCTTAGCAAGAGGAGAAGTACTTATGAAGATGAGAAACCCTAGGTGGGAGGAGAATGAACATGAGCCACATAATTTTTGGGGTAGTTGATTTGGTAGGTGGAGCACATGGTCTTGGAAGAACAAGACATTGGTCAAAAAGTTGTCCAAATTTCAGATCATGGCTCTCTAACCGGTAAAGCAACCGAGCATAATAGCGAGCGAATTCAAAGTGTATCCGATATTTTCGCGATAACGGCAACAAGGCCCGGGCATCGATATTTACGACTACACGAATTTTATTCTGTATACTCGTAAATAGGGGGGAGTAGTTGATAAGGATTATAATACTTATTTGGTATAACGGGATAAAGACCCGCGAGTGGGTCGAACATAGAAGCGGTCGAACACGGACCGATCGAATATAGACCTAAGGCCAACATTGTACATCTCTCCCATGGGTCGAACATGGACCGGTCGAATATAAACCAAAGGTCAAAGGGGCATCGACCTATGCAAAAGATCGAGCTTACACCCAGAGGTCGACCCATCATGTCGAATATAGACCAAAGGCCCAAGGGGGTGCCGATCCATGCAAGTGGTCGAGCTCAGACCCGGAGGCCGGCCTTAGGCATTGACATCGAGCGAGGAAGTAATCCGTACAGTTAAAATACTATATATACATTGAATCCCAAAACGGGAGGTAAGACATCATTCATTACAATTACTGTTACACTCATTAGACACAATATTTTCCTATTCCGAGATATTGACTTGGGCGTCGGAGGGTCTTGCGCCGGAGCAACTCCGGCGTATTTGCAGGTACAGGTGAACATTCAAGCTTGAACCGGACCGGGTTAAATGCATTTACGCCACAATCTCGAAGAACCCCTTGGAAGACCGGAGTCCTTCATCTCGGACCATATCGCTCTATATCATGTATACGCAAGTATTGATAACGGGTTCATATAGAGAATTATTTTATAAATTTGAATAATCCACAGCAAATCTGGAAAATTTTGAAATTACTAAAATATAGATATATATATATATATATATATATATATAATATATAAGGGGAATTATTGTGGAGGAACCCTATAAGTACTTGTACACAGAGTTTTACATAACACTCGTATTAAGTGGGTCCTACTAAAAATAAAAAAATTATGTGCATCCCACTTCATGTGAGTGTTATGTATTTATGTACATTTATTATGTAATTATAGCATTTTTCTTTATTGTGTAGTCCAAACTTGGGTTCCAAATTTAAAATACAATAAATAATTATTCATAACTTATGGGTCGATATTAACGTGGACGTAAGTAGAATAGTATTTTATAGTTTAATAAATTACTCAACTATCTTAATTTTTTTTATTTGGATTAGAGATATTAAATGGTCCTTGGCCCGACGGGCCGGCCCGTTTAGCCCGAAAAAAATAGGGTTAGGGCCTTTATTGCCAGCCCGTTTAAATCTGGGCTTTTTAGACCCGAACCGTTTAGTCCGAAGCCCGTTAGGGCTAGCCCGAAAACCGCTAGAGCTAGCCTGTTTAACTTGGACTGGGTGGTGTATTTGTTTTTAGAAAGGTAAGTAATATGTCTCATCCTTGTATATTACAATTTTGCTATTCTACTTCACATGTAATTATTAGTTATAATGTATTATTATTATTTTGATAGATAATTATTAACAAATTTTATTCTATTTCACAGAAAAATATTTAAGCCAATCAGAACAACTAATAAAAAACAAATGAGACAAAAATCTAACACATAGAATATAGTGATAGAATATAATTAAGCAGTATGCTATATTGTGAAAATTCCCGAACCGTACCAAATAACTAGTCAAATGGTAGTTAAGTAATAGTTCGAACAATTTTTTTTTCTATTGAGAAACAATATGTTATTTAAGAGTTTGTAATGTGTGTCATATATGAAGTGTAGTTGTATATATATAATGGTAAATGTTAAATAACCGTTGAAAGAAACCGTTAACTAGGTGTTGTAATTTTTTATTTATTATTATTATTATTATTATTATTATTGTTGTTGTTGTTGTTGTTGTTGTTGTTGTTGTTGTTGTTGTTGTTATAGCCCGTTTAGCCCGAAACCCGCTAGGTTTAGGGTTATGTCTATTTTTTGGTAGTCCGTTTAAATCCGGGTTTTTTAGGCCCGGACCGTTTAACCCGAAGCCCGCTAGGGCTAACCCGTTTAACATCTCTAATTTGGATAGTTTATACAAAAATAAACTTATTTTATTTAATGATACTTTAATATTATACTTATTGTTGACATGGATTTTTAAATATATGATAACATTTTACCAAAATAATTATTTTATGGGATCACATTGCATTCAAATCGAATTTCTAAATAAAAATTTTAAAATGACACTTATTTTGAAACGAATATAATGTAATCTATTATCAGTCATGTGTATTGTACGAGTTGTGTACTAATTTTAAATATACATGTTTTATGTAATTTTTCATAATTTAAATTTTATATATCATTTTAAATAAATTTTTATAGGCAAATAGTATTACATATTGATTCCATATTTTAAATTTGTAAATATTATTTAATGAATATTTTTAATTTATAAATATTAATGAATATCTCTTACCCGTACATTGCATGGAATTGTACTAGTACGGATCTACATTAGCACAGTAAATATTCATATAAAATAGACCACATTCCCGATAGCATGAATGAAAATCATTATATTTATCACCATGTAGTCCTTGATATTATCCTCCAATTCTAAGAAAAATGCATCATTTCTTCATTTTACAACAATCCCTGCCTATGAAATAATGAAAACACAACATTTTTTTTCGACGTCTAAACTTGTGGGATACACCACCAAAGCAGCTTTAACATTAAGTTTAAATTCTTCATCAATGCTACCTACAATTATAAATACAAAAGGGTGATGATAGCATAAACGAGTATCACACTAAGCCTCGAAGGAAAGAATGAGTTGTCCGCACCTTCATTAGGAGAGCCTAGAAGCCAGGTAAGCCGCTAGAGTAGAGACAAAATTGTTATTCCACGCTGGACTACATCTCTGCACTATTTTAGAGTAATGAACACTATCGCGCTACATATAGCGCGGTACTATTCATTACTCTATTATTTTTATTTGTTTTTATTTTTTAGATTATATATAATTGATTTATATATCTTAAAATTTATTATGTGACAAAGCTTGTACCATTATATTTATAATTTAATTTTAGAATTATATGAATATATTATTTTAAAAAATGTACATATACATTGAATTACTATAAAATAAATTAAATAATATACATAAATAATAATTCTTTATGGAACAATATTTCAACCTTGTAGCAGACCAACTAATATCATGATATGTTTTATTTGTGGAGTAGAATGTAGTGCGAACGGTTGAAGATCGCATCTGATTTTTGTTTAGTTCTACTATTTTAGAGTAGAGTAAAATCTAGTGATACTAAAGTAGAAATAAGGACGGGATATAATTTTATGTGGTCCTAAAAATAATTGTCATCAAATCAATGAACAAACTCGTGCGAATCGACAATCAGCCGCGCCTGCTCTGGAGCAATAGCTGAAACACGGCGGTCAACATGCACTCTAAGAAGGCTTCGAAAACTTCCAAAACATCTGAAAAGGAAGAGAAAAGCTCAAAAACGAAAAACTCACCAAAAAGGCCGGAGAGTTGGGCGGGAATTTTGCCGCGTATTTGCCTTGAAGCACGAACAAATTCGAGGTGCCGAGGAGATAGGTCGGCCTCGACTTCTCCATCCGCGTGGGCATTGGCCCCCAGGAGGCCGATGTCGTCGCCGCCTACACCTGTGGCAAAAACTCCGGCGAGTTTAGGGAAGAGGGAAGGGAAAGGCGGGGCGATGAGTGGTGTTTTGAGCTTCTTCTCAGGCAAAAGAATGTGTCTCCGTTGTTGGAGGCATAGTACCACCGATACCGTACAAAGGCTGGAGATACACTAATGCTCGGGCGACGGCGATGCCGCCATAAAGGGAGTATCTCAGGTATTGACGTCACACAAAGTATGAAATAAATTTATTTTATTTATCCGTGATTGTCAAATTAGGTGACCAAATAGACTGGTAGTTGTTACATGTGTATGCTTATTGCTTTACCATTAGAAGAGTATGTGATTCTTTTTGTTCTATTTTATTAACAAGATTTATATATATTTGTTTGAGTTGACACATAAAATACAATATTAAAATCCGATCCAAAATTGATTTTATATTTAGAGTCAGTGTCTTTCGATTATTAATTTTTAAGTATTTTAAATTGATATAACTTAATAATTTAGAATATTAATATACATAGAAATGCACTATTTCCTAACTTTATGAACTACAAAATTATTTAATCATGATATTTCTGTATATTTACTGTTTTAAATTAACAACATAATAGCATTCTTTTTTATATAATTTATTTAAACTGAGAATAATATTTCATAATTTCTTAAAATTTATTTTATGTAATACTTAATTTTTATATTTTATCCAAAATTTATGGCACGAATACAATAAAATAATTATTTTATGGTGTATAGAATTAGATTTTTATTATTTTTATAAAATAATTTATATTATTATTTATTTAGTTTTTTTAAATTGAGTTGATAGTAAAATTAATTTTATTTTTAAATATAGATAAATTGATTTTTTATTTTATATATGCAATATGAATGTCAAATTGAAGATCATTAAAACATGATTATTTTGATAGATCATATATAGGATGCAAATAAAAAAGTTATAAAGTTTTAATAATAAAAAGAATGCATATTTGTAAAAGTTAATATTTGAATTAAATAGAAAAGGAATATGATAACTTGATAAAGAAGGAAAGCTATAATAGTTTATGGTAATTTCCAAAAGTAATAGTCTGAACCAACCCTATATCAATACGAAGCACAAATTTATACCAAATAAGCTTACGAAACATAACTGCTACTTAGACTCAGCGCATTCGAGAGTTATATATGATTAATTAAACATATTATAGTGCACAAAATTTCACTTTAGTATCGATTAAATTAGGGCAGGCTGAGTATAGATAAATAAAAGATCGAGATTCAACCTTATCTAGATTTGATTTTGATGTGTCAAAACTCAAAACTTTTTGGCTTATGTCCTGAATACAAAATATTTTGTTTTATTTTAATATTATATATTTTTTTGGTATTATATAAATACATATTTCACAACTAGTTAAGAATGACTACAAATATCCTTATTTTCTATTGCATATCATACAATAAAATAAATATTTTTTGACATTACAAAGATATATCAAATATTTTGAAAAAATCAAATCCCATAGTCACGAGTCGAAGAGGTTTAACGATAATGATTTGTTGTGATGAGGATTCTAACGAAAATCATGAATATTGTATATAAAGTAGTGTTTAATAATATTTAGATTCACTTTTTAAATCATTTTTTTCTCATTTATTAAGTTGTGAATTTTATTTTATTCTATATTTTTAATTATTTTATCTCTATTATTCGCTTTTCGTGCAAATGCACCGAGTAAAACTAGTATATACCTAAGTTCCTAACCTTGATCTTCATTAATAAATGCTTAAATTTTAACTAGGGTAGTGAAATTTAGTAGTCTAAAAAAAACTCTTAAAAACAGGTAAAATAATTCTTGAGGTTTGGATGAAATAATATTTAAGTTTCCAATTAGAATTAGAATAAATTAATTGTCCTCGTGAGGTAATGACGGAAGAGAATGGGTTTGAAAGGTTATTTCCTATTTTTAACCCTTGAATGATTGACACGACACATACATTAGTTCTTATTTTTAACCCTTAGATGTATGCTAAATTATATTTAATCCAAGGGCTTAGATTTAACTGCTCCTTACCCCAGGAGACCCACTCTACAGGGCCGTCGTATCCGCCCGTATAATACTGCTGTGTACGGATTTGATACTTGAATACTCATCCATGATACAAGAGGCGAGAGCCGATTACCTTACCAGTTTGATTGTGATTATTTACTCAAGTTTTCCTTCTCTTTGTTCATTTAGTAATGGAAGCAAAAGGCAAGGGGCCTGCAATCGGAATTGATTTGGGGACGACCTACTCATGCGTGGGCGTGTGGCGCCACGACCGCGTCGAGATCATAGCCAATGATCAAGGTAATCGCACGACGCCGTCATATGTCGCTTTCGCCGACGGGGAGCATCTCATTGGCGAAGCCGCCATTAACCAGGCCGGCATGAATCCCGCAAACACGGTCTTTGGTGAGCAGCTTCTTTCCCCAATTTTTCTTTTGTTCTATTTTCGTAGTGTTATATTGAATTCCTTTCTTAGATTTCGTATTGCTGTATTGAATTTCAGTTGCACAGTATATATGTGAGGTGTTGATATTGGTACTTGTTCATATTAAGAAACAAACCTACTCTGCCTCTAACCGTATTGGGCGATATGCAGATGCCAAGCGGCTGATCGGGAGACGATACAGTGACGCCTCTGTGCAAGCCGACATAAAGCTGTGGCCTTTCAAGGTTATCCCGGGCCCCACCAACAAGCCCATGATTGTGGTCTCCCACAACGGCGAGGAGAAGCACTTCCCCCCTGAGGAAATATCGTCCATGGTACTCACCAAGATGGCCGCCATTGCCGACTCCTTTCTGGGCCCCACCCCTGTCCGGGATGCCGTCATCACCGTCCCGGCCTACTTTAGCAACTCTCAGAGACAGGCTACCAAGGATGCCGGTGCCATTGCCGGCCTCAATGTCATCCGCATCATCAACGAGCCCACTGCTGCTGCCATTGCCTATGGCCTCAACTACAAGGGAGAGAAGAAGAACGTGTTGGTCTTTGACTTAGGTGGTGGCACCTGTGACGTCTCCATCCTCACAATATCAAAGGGTACCTTTGAGGTGAGGGCCACTACTGGCGACACTCACCTTGGCGGGGAGGATTTCGACAACCGCATTGTCGATCACTTTGCCAAAGAGTTCAAGTGCAAGTACAACAAGGACCTTTCCGAAAACCCGCGGGCCCTACGGAGGTTGAGGACAGCTTGCGAGAGGGCGAAGAGGGTTCTCTCGACCAATACTAAGACTCACGTGGACGTTGAGTGTTTGCACGAGGGAATTGACTTCCACTCTAGCATTACTCGTGCTAAATTCGAGGATCTCAACATGGACCTGTTCGAAAAATGCGTCGAGCCCGTCGAGAGCTGCCTGAGAGATGCTGGGGTGGAGAAGACTGCCATCCATGATGTCGTTCTCGTTGGAGGCTCGAGCAGGATTCCCAAGGTTCAGAAGATGCTGCAGTGTATTTTCGAGGGAAAGGAGCTGTGCAGGAGCATTAACCCAGATGAGGCTGTTGCGTACGGGGCTGCCGTGCAGGCGGCTGTCCTAAGTGGCATAGGGGATGACAAGGTGCGGGACATTGTCCTCCGCGACGTGACCCCTCTCTCCCTCGGAATAGAAACTACCGGTGCTGTCATGTTTGTCGTGGTCCCGCGTAACACAACAGTCCCCACCCAGAAGGAGCAACAATTCACCACGAGTGTCGATGACCAAACATCTATGAGACTCCCGGTCTACGAGGGCGAGCGGGCGAGGTCAATAGACAACAACCTGCTCGGGAATTTCACGTTGAAGGGAATACCACCTGCCCCGAGGAGCCTGCAGAAGGTGGACGTGTGCTTTAAAATTGACGTCAACGGCATACTCAGTGTGTCGGCCAAAGAGAGGTCGACGGGCAGAACAAACGGGATCACTATAACAAACGAAGAAGGGAGGTTGTCGAAAGAGGAGATTGATAGGATAGTGTGGGATGCCGCCAGGCACAAGGCAGAGGATGAAGAGATTAAGAGGAGGGCCGAAGCTAGGAACATCCTCGAGAGTTATGCTTATAATGTGAGGAACACTGTCAAGGCTGCAGCTGGGCTGGCGGTGGCCGACAGGACAATGGTGGAGTATGCGGCGACGTTGATTATTGAGTGGGTGCGGGTGAATTGGATGAAGGCCAGTGTGGATGAGCTCAACAACAATATGAGGAAGCTTGAGTGCTTTTGCAGCCCTATCATTAATAAAGTTAATATGGAGTCCGGTGGATTGTAAGCTGTTTGCCATTCTGCTTTTGTCTATATTTAGTGCCTTGGTTAATATTTCACGCCAAACCAATTTGTCCGTAGACAATTATCTTTTGGTTCGTTTCAAATCATTACGCCAAACCAATATGTAACTAAGGTGCTTGTTGCTAGGACTAATGTGTGATAAAATGCTGATTTTATCTTATTACTTTTTCAGTGAGATAATTTTTTCGGTAGCCCAAACGCACAAATTTTGACAGAATCCAACTTTAAGTTTAAGATTTAGTCCAACTATCTTTCGAGCTCTTTTTTTATATTATTACGCTGACAAACTGGGTGTATTTATGTATACAACATCACAAATATTGTTGTTGTTAGAATGCTTAATGTTAGACATTTATACTTGTCCAACTAAAATGGGCATATTATACTATCAAAATTTATATTTTTTATACTTGTTTACTGTTCAAGTTGAAAATTCTTGCAAAACACTTGGAAATATAGTTGAAAAAACAATCAAATAAAATCATATAAACAATAAATATTAATATGTTTGTAATTATTATTTTTTTATTTTTTTTTTCGATCTCTTCCTTTTGGTTCGAGTCTTTTTGTGTTTCTCTTGGGTTTCATCTCTAGCCTACCCCGACTTGCTTGGGACTAAAGGCTATGTTGTTGTTGTTGTTGTTATTTTTTATTTTTTATTTAATAATTTTTTTTTTGTAAATGTTTGTGCAAATAAAATGAGATTTATATGTAGATGGATGTTGTATGTGGATGGAGTAATGAAATTTGTATTTGGATAGAGCATTTTTCTCCTATAAAGGAAAAGTTAATGATTAACACATGAAATCAAAGCTAAAAGCGACCAGTTGGCAAACCAAGGCCACAAAAATCCTTTCAATAATAGAAGCCAAATTCAAACTTATTTGAAGCATATAATACATGTAACTCATCACAAATATCTCCTTCAGTGGACAATCATAGTGGCTTAATGTTCTTATCTATTACACAAGTCATCATGTTTCAAAACACATTATTCTGGAACTCAGGTTTTCCTGGGCAAAACTCAAAATGGCAGAGCATGTCTTTCTTGTCGGACTTTCTGGAAAACTATTCATTCCTCGGCAGCAAACAGGCAGATGCTTTGGAGGGACGCATTGCCATTGCAGGCTTGCAGCCTATGAGGCAGAGGATATGCCCAAATCCCGTACAGTCGATCAAGTTCAAGCTGCGTTCTGGAGTCATGGAAATAAATTCAGTCTCATTGATTTCTTGATTGATCTTTGTACAGCCACAAGTCATGCTAATGTATTTTTGTATTTAAATTTTCTCATAACATTAAGAATATTATGAAAATAAAATTTATATATTATTGAATAATTCCTTATATACAACATTTTTGGTTTGATTCTTTGACAGTAAAATACTACATGGGTGTTCGAATTTATCTAAAATTACGTGTTAACAGTTATTAGTTAACAAATAATGTTTTTTAAAAAAATAATGGATCTTATTTATTAAACAAAATTCTTGTACACAAAAAGTAGAGATTCTCAAGCCATATTATTTTATTTTTTTTAGAATCTAATTCAATTTTTTTATGAAGAAATATTAAAAAGAATCATTAGTTTTTCTTAAACATGAAACTGAATTTTCTCACTAATACATTGATTTTTTTACCAAATAAATTAATCTGAATATTTGGTTAAAACAAAGTGAAAAGAAACATCAATTTTTTCTAAAATGCGACCGAATATTTCTAACATTGCACCGGTTTTTTTACCAAAAAAAAAAAATGAATTGAAATTAATTCTAATAAAAAATTAAAATATTTTGTTAAGATTTTTGCAACTGTTTCATTCCTTAAAAAATTGATATAAACTTAAAAAAAAAAATTGATATGAACTTACCAAAAATCTCGAGAAACATTGTTAAGAAAAAACGTAAGAACCTAAAAAAATTAGTGCATTCAAATTTAGAGAAGGACTTAGACCTACCGGTAACCGGCTTCGCGGGCCCATTTGTTCCACACATGGCTAAGCTCCTGGTTTTTGAAAAGTTGCACACGATTTTCCATTGTAAAAGTTGCACACGATTTTAAAATTGAATTATTTTTTTTTCCCTAAATAATTGGACCGATTTAAATATCAAAGATAAACCGATTTTGTTACCAAAAAATATGGATACGATTTTAAATGTATATCCCGTCCAAATCTCAATTTTGTTTTAAAATAAAAGTTGCACATGGTTTTATCTAATTTGCACACATTTTTTGAACGAAAAAATCATTCAAAAAGATGGGAAGAATTTGTTAAGAATTATACAACTATTTGTTTCCTAAATTTGTGTCCAGTTTGCATGATTTTTAATTTAATGTGTATTTGGATTTGTTTTCATAAATAGTTGACACATTTTTTGCATAAAAATCTCCAAATTTGTTAAGAAAAAAATGGAATTCAAATTTTGATAAAAAAAACTAAAAAATGATACAAAAAAATTAGATTTAGATTTTGACATAAGAATCTTTAAATTTGTTAAAAAAAGAATGAGATTTAGATTTTGTTACTTAAGATTCACATGTGTTTTTTTTTTTCTGAAATTTCTACTAATAGTAAGTCAAATTATTTATTTTTTTGGTCAATGTTACAAAAATGATTTTACCACCAATCTTTCTAGAAAAATGATACATAGTCAACCAAGTGTAAACTAGGTTGACGACACAAGTGGGAAATATCCACTTGTTTATTTTTATTTCTTTTTATTTTTATAGATATTTTTATTTGAGTTGTCAACCTAGTTGTAGACTAGGTTGACAATCTAGCGTTTCTCATCTTTTTATATTGAGAAATGCTACATTATCAACTTAGTGTACAACTAGGTTGTCAACAAAAGTAAAATCATCCACAAAAATAAAAATAAAAATAAATACACAAGTAAATGATTCTACTTGTATTGTCAACCTGGTTTTATAAAATTGGTCATGTATCATTTTTCTTTTATATTAGTATAGATATTATAGTGCACAAAATAGAAGATCGAGATTCAACCTTATCTAGATTTGATTTTGATGTGTCAAAACTCAAAACTTTTGGTCTTCATGTAAAGCTTGAATTTGACTTCTCTTTTCTCAATAAGGTATCTGAAAAGACGCTCACTCTAAAGGGCACTCGTATCCGCACGTATAATATTGTATACGGAGTTGACACTTGAATACATCCCAACTATCCAAGAGGCCAGTGTTGATTACCTTACCAGTTTGATTGTGATTAATTATTCAAGTTTCGTTCACTTTGTTCATTCAGTAATGGCCGCAAAAGGCGAGGGGCCTGCAATTGGAATTGATTTGGGGACCACCTACTCGTGCGTGGGCGTGTGGCACCACGACCGCCTCGAGATCATAGCCAATGATCAAGGAAATCGCACGACGCCGTCCTATGTCGCTTTCACCGACGGCGAGCGCCTCATCGGCGAAGCCGCCAAGAATCAGGCCGGCGTGAATCCCGCAAACACCATCTTTGGTCAACTGCTTTATTTTCCTATTTTTCTTTTCCCCGCAAGAGATTTTGGCTGGTATTCATTATATTGAATTTTTGTTGTACAATAGCGTAAGCAAGTTGGTATAAGTGAGGTGTTGATATTGGTATTAGTTCCTATTAAGAAACAAACCTACTCTGCCAGGCTACTATACTCGTACCTCTAACCGTCTTGGGTGGTGCAGATGCCAAGCGGCTGATTGGAAGACGATACGGCGACGCCTCTGTGCAGGCCGACATAAAGCTGTGGCCGTTCAAGGTCGTCCCGGGACCCACCAACAAGCCCATGATTGTGGTCTCCCACAAGGGCGAGAAGAAGCAGTTCCCCCCTGAGGAGATATCGGCCATGGTTCTTACCAAGATGGCCGCCATTGCCGACTCATTTCTGGGCCCCACCCCCGTTCGGGATGCCGTCATCACCGTCCCAGCCTACTTTAGTGACTCTCAGAGACAGGGCACCAAGGATGCTGGTGCGATTGCCGGCCTCAATGTCATCCGCATCATCAATGAGCCAACTGCCGCCGCCATTGCCTATGGCCTCGACTACAAGGGAGAGAAGAAAAATGTGTTTGTCTTCAACTTAGGTGGTGGCACCTGTGACGTCTCCCTCCTCACGATCGACAAGGGTACCTTCGAGGTGAGGGCCACCGCTGGCGACACCCATCTTGGCGGGGAGGATTTCGACAACCGCATTGTCGCTCACTTTGCCGCCGAGTTTCAGCGCAAATACGACAGAGACCTCTCCCAAAACCCCCGAGCCATACGGAGGCTGAGGACAGCCAGCGAGAGGGCCAAGAGGATTCTATCGACCAACACTGAGACCACTGTGGATATTGAGTGCCTGCACGAGGGAATCGACTTCCACTCTAGCATTACCCGTGCTAAATTCGAGGATCTCAACATGGACCTGTTTGAAAAGTGCGTCGTGCCCGTCAAGAGTTGCCTGAGAGACGCTGGGGTGGACAAGACTAACATCCATGATGTCGTCCTGGTTGGAGGCTCGACCAGAATTCCCAAGGTTCAGAAGATGCTGCAGATTATTTTTGAGGGGAAGGAGTTGTGCAGGAGCATTAACCCGGATGAGGCCGTTGCATACGGGGCTGCCGTGCAGGCAGCCATCCTAAGTGGCATAGTGAACGACAAGGTGCGGGACATCGTCCTCCTCAACGTGACCCCTCTCTCCCTAGGAGTGGAAATTGCAGGGAAGGTGATGTCTGTTGTGGTCCCGCAGAACACGAGTGTCCCCACGCAGAAGGAGCGAAAATTCACTACGAGTTTCGATGATCAGACATCTGTGAGTTTCCATGTCTACCAAGGCGAACGGGCGAGGTCAACGGACAACAACCTGCTCGGGAAGTTCAAGCTGAATGGGGTCCCACCTGCCCCTCGACGTCTGCCCAAACTTGACGTGTGCTTCAAAATCGACGTCAATGGGATACTGAGTGTGTCAGCCAAGGAGAGGTCGACGGGCAATATGAACGGGATCACTATAACCAATGAAGAAGGAAGGCTATCGAAAGAGGAGATTGATAGGATAGTTTGGGATGCTGCGAGGTACAGGGCAGAAGACGAAGAGTTTAAGAGGAGGGCCAATGCCTGGAGGAGCCTCGAGGATTATGCTTATAGTGTGAGGAACACAGTCAGGGCTGCAACTGGGGTGGCGACGACCGACAGGAAAAAGGTGGGGGATGCGGCTGTGTCGGTTATTGAGTGGGTGGGGGAGAATTGGATGAAGGCCAGTGTGGATGAGCTGAACCATAAGAAGAGGGAGCTTGAGCGTCGATTATTGAGTGGGTGGGGGAGAATTGGATGAAGGCCAGTGTGGATGAGCTGAACCATAAGAAGAGGGAGCTTGAGCGCATTTGCAGCCATATGGAGTCCGGTGGATTGTAATTTGTTTGCCATTTTGCTTTTGTCTATATTTAGTGCCAGTTGGTCCGTAGATAATTATCTTTTGATTCGTTTTAAATCATTACCCAACATGTAACTAAGGTGCTTATTGCTATGACTAGTGTGTGATCAAACGCTGATTCTATATTATTAATTTTCGTAATTTTATTTGGTAGCCCACACGCACTGCACTTGTAGACACAGTGGTTTTCATACAAATTTTGACAGAATCCAACTTTAAGTTTAAGATTTAGTCCAACTATCTTTCGAGTTCTTTTTTAATATTATTATTATTTTCTGAAATTATTATTTAGTTCTTTGTGATGCTTTCGTATATTTTTTTTTTATGTAGTAATCATTTTATTGTCGGTCAGTGCGCTTATAATATGTTTGCTTTTTACATATATATATATAGAAAGGATGATGAGAATGGTAGGGTTTTTTCGTACCTCTAACCGTCTTTGGGGTTTTTATTATGAAAATTAAACAAACATTGAGGACTTATTTGCAATTTTTGAAGTTTTAATATATTGCACTTTAGACCAAAGATAAATTTGCAATATATGAAAAGCTTAATTAATGCACAGTAATGTGAAATGAAATGCACAATAATGCCTGATGATATGCACCTTAAAAAACCTTTTATCTTTATAGGGTAAATAATTTTTTGCATCCTGTACTATACGCGTTTTTGGCATTTGCAACTTAAAGTTTTTTTTTTTTTTTTCATTATTTGCAACCTTTAATACACGTTTTGTCTGTATCGCAACCTAACGGCCATTGGAGTCCATATTCCACCGGAAAAGCGAGCGTGCGACTCGCACGCTCGAAACTTGAGGGTAAGATCGCCAATTGAAGTGTGTGACTGTTCGGTATCCCACAGAGTAAAGCAAATAATTTTCAAAGTTCACAAAATCCCCAAATCAAAAACTCAGAAACCTAGGGTTCTTGCCTCTGCGATTTTCAATCGCGACACCCAATCTCAAACTTTCCTTCGATTTAAACATAGAAATTGTGAATCAAACTTGATCGCGATCTTGATGGGCTGGAAGGTACGCGACGACAATGAGAATCTTCCTCCTGGAAGACTGTGCCCCGATTACGGTTTGTTTTTCGAACCCTAACTTTTTTTTTNG